TTGTGACTACATTTTGGTGATGAGCTCCAACATAACTTATGTCTTTGAGATTACTGGTAATCGCCTTCGACTGTCTAACGTCAAAATAAATTTCAAGTCAGACATAGATAATGGCTGTTATTACTAACAGACAGTGTGACCACAAGTAACAATATCTTGAAACTAATCTTTCTCTAAATAATTACTCAATTTATTACTAGACTGTTGCTAACTCCTATTTCTTTCTATTTGGAGACTGTTTCATTAGATATCTTGGTTACAAGTAAAAGTAATTTTATTTATAACAGACTTCACTACAGTCAATAGAGTGGCAAAGTCTAGGACGTCATTTTGCAGACTTTCGTCTTCGTATGCTTCATCGTCGGAAGAAGTAGAGTCTTGAACATCTACTACTCCAACTAATTCAGTCCAACTAGCTGGTCACATGAGATAACGATGATCACTACATCCAATATCATACTGCGGTTGGATCATTTGATTTCCTATAGTTGTGATGATCTGGAATGAATGAACTTATACGCATTTATGGTGGGATCAAATCCTGGACCCACAGGTTACACTATGACGTCGACATTGTTGTTCGAGTGATTAGCATGTTTTAATTTAGTTTATTGTTCCCAAATATTTCTGGGGTATTGAAATCGATAAGTTTTAAATATTTATGCAGCACAATAGTTTCTTTAGACGTAATATCGATTCTGATGTTGGTTTGTTCTCTGAGCTGGATGGTTTGGTCGTGGAGCTTTCATCTTCCTTCTGAATGACATCATCAGCACAAACTTCGGGTAGAAGTACCCGAAGCATCCACCTGAGCTACAAATCTTCTCCACCATCTCAAAAGTAATATTGATTCACTTGAAAGTTTGATTTATTTAAAATCGATACTTTCAATTTATTTCCTTCCGAAAAACAATATCGATCTTTTTGGGGTGACAATAATCAAGATCATGTTAATGATTGTGATCACTGATCATTGATGAAATCCTTTATAAAACAAATCAGTTATGAACAGATACAATATCAGAAAATTTTAAGCAAATTAATTTCAGAAGGAGTTTTGTGGAGATTTCAGTATTCTCACAGTTGAAATCATGAGTCCATTGAAGCTAGACCATCATGGAAAACCTGGAAGCACTGGACGGCCATTTCATCCTATTATGAGACTCCTCAGCAGTGCGCGAGATCGTGGATGCACAGTGCTGAGGAGTCCCAGAATAGGATGAAATGGCCGTCCAGTGCTTCCAGGTTTTCCATGGTGGTCTAGCTTCAATTGACTCATGAATTCAACTACAAATTAATTCTATAAAAAGTACTTGAATTGACGATTAATTATCATGATAGACGTTTTAAAAACATCCATAGGAAGGATATGCGTAACTCATGTATTTTAACAAGAAAAATTCCCTGATACAGCCGATGGTCTGGAAAGTCCTGATTGGTGAGTATTAATCAGTAAAGTAGAACAGTGACCTGAATAAGCAAAGATGGATAAGATCTAGAAGTGGAATACAGGACGCTCGTTTCGTCCTGTTTGGAACTCGTCAGCTGGATGTACCTGCACTCTGGGACTTGAACCCAGTACCGTTCGCTTTAAACACCATCGCGTTATCCACTCAGATACTGAGTCCTGATAGCCACCTGCTTGTGCGATGTGGTGAAGTTATATTCACTTGGTGTTGTTTACTTGTATCTTTCCATTGTTATTTAGGACTGTAATTGATCAGTCTCCTGTTTGCTTATGTACATCCTGTGCGGATTACCTCGACATTGACTGAAATCACAAGCTTTGTTCAATTTAGTGCTTGCTTAATTTTTCCTTATGAATTTTGATTAAAAACAATCCAGATCTATTCACATTTCACAGTAATAACGTAAATAACATTTCTTCAGTTTGTGTTGTCTATTTGATTCTACGGATTAAATCATATTTTGGTCATATCTGTCTACCAGTATAACTTTCGAAGGTTTATATTTCAATTGGATCCATATGACTCTATCATCATTACACACTGGATTTATTTATTTATTTAAACACATAAATATTGGTACAAGGAAGCCACAGATATATATGCGCCGCAAAAATCTTATTCGATTCGTGTGAGGGCTGTGACACTGCCCACGTGCCCAAACTGAAAAAGGTGGTTTGCTTAGGGGACCACACCCGAAGCCTGTGACCTAAAGATCTGATCCACAGGACAGTGGAGCATCGTGAGGAGATGCAGTCCCATGATAGCCAGTGATTGATTCATACACCACTTGTTCCCTCAGGATACTGGAGAGCCCATGTGCACCATTGGTTTGGACTCAGTTTTCCAAATTCCCTTAGGTGAACTTTGCATGTCCACCAACCCGGTTAAAGCGCCGGACATTTGCTTTTCGTCCTCTCAATTTCGTAAACAACACATCTGCTCCGAGAAGGCAGTGAGTAGGACTTCCATGGCAGAGGCTATATACATGTGGTTATGTGAGAGTATTTCGAGAGGGAGAGCGGAGTCTCCTCACTCTCGGCCGTACCAGGACATTTGGAGGCTATCTCACTGGATTATATGAAAGTATCTAGTGATTATGGATTGTTTAGTGATAAGATTTCATTCGAATATTAAGTTGATTACTGTTCAAACAGATCATTAGTAATTTCCTTAATTGTAATATTGGTCAATGTGGGTACAAGCCACAGTAAGAGAATCAAGTTTTACCATTACATATTCACTTTACTGATAACATTCTTTAATATTTCCATGTTCGAATTGAAACGAACTAAAGAGAAGATAAAGTGGAACATTAATGTAACCCTTCAAAGGAAACTCTAAATTAAAGACACACTTTACAAAAATAAATGCAATAGAAGATCGAGAATTATGGGATAAGACACAATATGCTCTATTACTGCGTATCTGTAGTCATATCACTCAGTCTTCATACCGAAATATCACCTTGCTAAAAGCAACAATCAACAATCTTATAGATAACCATGATTTTCTGGTTTCATCAACCCTGTTATTATCTACACATTTCTTGGTTATTCAGGATTTCAGTTGTCTCATCGGTTACCTTTACGTTTACATATCTGATTGATATTTGTTCATATCCAACTGTCAGGGTTGTCTTTTTTAGGAGTATAGGCTAGTGTTATTGACAAGTCCCAGCTAGCATAAAGCCTTTGTTATGTCTCGTATAACAATCGTTATTGTATATGAAACGTGCAATGATACAGAAAATACGTACGAGCAGTCTTGATTGCTATTCGGTCCTTCCTAACTGCCTAGCTTAGCCAGTTGAGTCCAGAACACAAATAACAGCCTCGGAAATATGAATCATTATTTACAAACACACTGGGTTTTTATACAAACCAAAGTAATCAATAACTGATTATAACTCAAGAATCGTATGATCATAAATCAAAGATCAAAATAATAGAAAACACGAATATGAATAATTTAGTTACGTAACAACTGTACAATAAGAAATAGGCATAATACATTGGTCGATAATAGACCTCAGATTTACGATTCATAATTCACCAGGGGATATAACACCTCCCCTTTTTGAGAAATCCGGAGTCGACATCCGGATTTTTAATTTCTCGAATTCATCCTCCCCCACGAAAGACTGTTGGATCCTCATGTACCCAAGTTACCATTATTGTGACATTATTTAAAACATATTCGTCGTATTTAACTGAAAATCCACGAGAACTTATTAGATCGTGAGGATCGACGACATTCGATTTGAGGTCACCAGCGTCTGATTCTTCTGAAACAGTTTCCTTGAATTTACTCGGAACCTCATAAGTAAATAATGAATCATTAGGATAATCAGTATCTATGAAAGTTGTATTGGATTCTTGATTATCATTTAATGCATCCGATATTTTTCTCCCATTTTTATAAGAGATTTGAACTGGAACATATGAATCAGCAAAATAATCGGGATCTGGCAGAACAATTAGATAATCTTGATCATTAGATTCATAAAAAAAACTTTTTTGCATCATGACTGGTTTGATTTGGCGCCACTGTATTCAATATACTGCCCGATTTGTTCCCCGTTTCTTCGTGGGCGGGTACTACAGTAATTCCATGAGCATTCAGCAAAACATTGTCTTTCTGTAAACAGGTTGATCCACTGTTTGCACGTCCGTTTTCGGGGTTAATAGGACTTGGACCGTGTATAGGGCATGTCTCTGAAACAGGCAGCACCGGACTACTGGGCTGATCATGTAGGACTGTTACTGCTGCATCTAAATTACTGTTTTTCGCGGATTCATAGAGGCTTTCCTCTGCATATTCATTTGTTCTGTAATCGACTTCCAGTTCTATACGCAATTTAGAAATCAATGCGTCAACTTCCGTTGCACCCCCAAAGCATGGGTGATTCAGCAGCGTCGCGTGTAACTTGTCAATGAAATCCAACTGACTCTTTTTAAAACGCTGCTCTTGTCTCTGAATTAGCAACTGAAATTGATCGGAAGTTAAAGCCATTTTTTTTACCCCGTCGTCAGTTGTTATATCGTATGGGCCCGTAATTTATATGAACGCCAATTTAGAGAGGAGTGAATTTATTGATCGGACGCAAATGATACTTGAAATATGTACGAGCAGTCTTGGGTGCTAATTCGGTCCTTCCTAACTGCCTAGCCCAGCCAGTTGAGTCCAGAACACAAATAACAGCCTCGGAAATATGAATCATTATTTACAAACACACTGGGTTTTTATACAAACCAAAGTAATCAATAACTGATTATAACTCAAGAATCGTATGATCATAAATCAAAGATCAAAATAATAGAAAACACGAATATGAATAATTTAGTTACGTAACAACTGTACAATAAGAAATAGGCATAATACATTGGTCGATAATAGACCTCAGATTTACGATTCATAATTCACCAGGGGATATAACAGCCTTCTAGGTCAAGTTGATTATCACTACGATTAATTCTATTAGAATACAATATTGGATAGAAAGAAAATACATATAGACAAAACAAAACTTACATTCGATATGGACGATCTAGCTGTTCTCACTTTACTATTCATTCGTATGCCAAATTGATTGTTAGTTGTACTGTTAGAATATGACTCTGATACAAAACGCCATTGAATTGGAATTTCATTTCCTAAAATATTATTATCAGTTCCATTTGAATGTGAATCAGTAGTGAATGATTCATCTTGCTTATTATTATTGACTGGATATAACTTGGGTACACTTATTAGATTTCCTTCATCGTCAAAAACTAATTTTCCAGATCCATTTATTCGTTTGTTTTGTAACTACATAGAATTTTAAAAAATGTCACAATCAAATCTCAAAATAAAATTTCACTTAATTTGTTGAACTACTATCAAATAAATAAGTAGTTCGCGCTTTAATCTTACTATTGTGAAACTGCACTGAACTAAAATATCCAAGTTAGTTTTTCTAACATGTACTACGAGACAGAACAAGTGGCGTTTTGTAAAATATCTGTTATTCAATATGAAATCAAATACAATCATCAAATCGGCGAAACTAAGTGTTCACATTTCTATCCAGGTAGAAAAAAAGTGACTGGCTCAGTTGAGAGTATTTTAACCTTAGATCTCCAAGCACTTCATGCTGTAAAAATAATTATAAAGAAATCCAACTAAGAACTGAGGATCCATCATAACAAATTCTTAGTTTACTACAAGTGAAGGAACAAAATTATTTTTCATTGAAATTACGAACCGATGTAAGTTAGACAGTGATTGAGAACCTGGAATCACTAGGCAGTCGGTTCTCTTTAGTGTGAACCTTATCAGCAATTAGCATCTACGACCCGTAAAAAAGGAGTAGAGATCGAAATCAAACAAAGCTTTTATTGTGTCTGCTATCACATACCTAACAATAAACATAACTGACAGAATATTTTAGTATATACACTTAACAATGACTATAATTACCATAGTTTCAGGCAGTTGTTTCATGAGTGGCTTCCTTGATTTCCTTTTAGTTGGATTATCTTCTTTGCTGATATTGTCGTTTTTAACTAACATATTATTCTGGATGAATTGAACAGATTAGAAAATTATCTCACTTCCATAGATACATTCTCTATAGATGACTTCAATGTAGAATCTTTTAACTGTTTAATTAGTTCATGGATGGAATCTTTTTGTTCACTAGGCATACTGGTGTGATCTATAACTGAAAAGAAATGTTTATTAGACGCCAATATTATTTGAAAGCCGTTTACCTTATTGTTTTGATATATTTAGAATGTGGCTAGGAGCGATGCCACGAACATGAGTTTCATCCTATTTGAGACTTTTCAACTGGATCTGCTTGTGCCATATTGTTAATATTTAAGATGAGACTAGAACATCGTATTAGAACCCCGTTATAGATACCAACTTACTATCCACTAAGCTACCGTGGGCATGCAGCAAGTAACTTAAACAAAAAGTATGAAGTAGTTAAAAAAGTTTTGTAATTCCCCGTTGTTGATATTCAAAACTCGAATTGATCTGTCTCTGATGCCATATGTGCATCCCGAGTAGATTGACTTGATAAAACATTCATTGATAAAGACGAGATGTGAGTCCTTGATTGCATCACTATTTGTATGCCAGATATATAATGACAATCTGGTCACGAGGCAAATGTGTCAACATAAACTGGTTAATTGGAGATATGTGTATTGGCGACGGGATATTATACCGGCAAGTGACTCAATTTATGATGGTAGATGATGTCAGTGCAAATAAAAACACTGGAAACATTGAGCAAATAACCGTGTTATATCACAGACTAACTGAAGTTCAAGGTTGGAACCACTGAAGTTTAAATGAATGTCTTAAAGCTATCATGGTAGTTGTGAAATTTAACAGTTCTCAATTCAATCTTTAGCATCGTCGTTGGTGCTCATTTCCTCAAGCTAGGATAACACATCTTGATTTTCAATGAATCTCATGTCGCTTATTAACAAAAATCATCACAAGTAGGTTTTGTGGAGATTCTAGTAATTTTATATAGTTAAGATCATGAGTCAATTGAAGCTAGACCACCGTGAAAAACCTGGAAGCACTGGACGGCCGTTTCGTCTTATTGTAGGGCTCCTCAGCAGTGCGCATACACGATCCTGCCACGCGGGATTCAAACCAAGGACCTACCAGTCTCGCGCCAGAGCACTTAATCGATAAACCACTGAGCCGGCATCCAGCGGTGTTATTGTCTAACCCCAACCAACCCACGACATTGCGCGACCAACTTATTGTACTGAGGTAGATACCTGTCTCTACCTGACATAGATTAGCTCCACTGGTCACGACTTCTCACTAGAACTTCAGGTATATATAGGTATAGGAAGGAAGAAATTTATGCAGCAATTTTAATGTCAAGGTTTAGGGGAAGATAAAGAGTGTATACACCTACACCATTGTGATCGATTCTGAGACATGTCACACAGAGTCTCCAACCATTGTTTACGATAGTCGCACGGACCCCAACCAAGTAGTCTGCATCTACCAACATAGCTAAAACTAGAAGTTAGTGACTTCAAGCACTAAGGATATAGTATAGGAAGGAAGAAAGTTATGAAGCAATTTTAATCTCAAGGTTTAAGGGAAGATAAAGAGTGTATCTTCGAGCTTTCTGTATAAATGTACAGTTTTACATAAACAAGCAATACTGGCTAAAAAAGTTTCGTTTTGGGATGGACTGAAATAATAAGTGATCTAGTAGCAGGTAAATTTACTTCATATGAAAAGGATGCTTATCACTTTGTATTGTTTGTTTAAATCTTTCCATTGATGTTTTAGGACTGCAACTGGTCAATCTCTAATTGGCATATGTGCATATTGTCTCGATATAGCCTTAATTCTCAAGCATGGTAAGCAAAGATGGATAGTGGCTAGCAGTGGAATCCACGACGCGCGACACTTCGTCCTATTTGGGACTCATCAGCTGGATGTACCTGCATCTCACAGTTGATGTTCACTCTGGGACTCGAACCCAGTACCCTCGCTTCATACGCATTTCATTGAAAATGAACTGTTGGAAATTGAGAACGATTTCTTGAACGAGATACAGATTTGTAGTTGCAATAGTGATGAAACACAAGGAGATGAATGATTCTCATCTTTGTATTTCAATGAATTATTTCCATATACCATTTGAACTTTTATTAATTGTCATTGGTGTTAAAAGATACGAGTAAACTACTGTAATATGACTCTGTCAAGGGCATATTATATTTGCATTAAACATAGAAGATTGATGAGTGAATAAAGGTTGATACTTTGGAAAACGAATGATACATTGAGCGAAATAAGTCAGGAATCCTTGTGTTTAGGTGACATTTGCCAACAACAATATTCGATACAAAAGAGATTGATTGTTTCACTTTAAAAAGATGTCGACAACAAACGAAATGTTATTTCCTCGAGTATCGCAATGTGTAGTCAAATTAGTAGATGTTACGTAACTTCCCGAATTCATCAATATCAAAATTGTGTTCAACTATACACTGTCCATTCTATGTCATTGGTTAGTAAGTATTTAATTATGAGAAGTAAACTTATCTGTGTAAACAATAGTGTAAATCAGTTATGCTGTTCAGGAAGAGTATGAATCAGATTATAAAGTATTCGGTGGAGTGTCTCTTTGTAGCTGCTTCTGCATTTTACATATTGCTAACAGCGAATGTTTATTAAGTAATCAGTACAACTTATTACATAAAAAGGTTATATGTCTCAAGGAGTGACGCGACATTAACAGTTAGACTTTTTCAATTCTTCCAGATAAACTGCCATTCTTTACTGTTGGTCATCATTTTTTCTATGAAATCATAATGAATATGGTTGTCGAAGGACATCCAATGTCTTTTTTAAGCCAAACAGGTCTTATCTTATTACAAATAAACCATGAATCGGTAACGTATATTGGCATATATGTTTCTAACTGAAAACGCCGTAGACATTCCTAATCTTCTCAAAATGACATCACATTCAATGCCGCGTATTTTATCTACTCAACATATGTGTGAGGTTTTCGATTCCTCTCACTCCTCTTCTTTTTTTATTAAACAAACTTATTGGAATATAATGTGCTGAGAAATCGGCATCAAGAAAAATGTGCTTGAACTGACAATCCTCTAACAACTATATTTATACACTTGCTTGATTGACACAGTCTATCTCTCAGTTGTCAAATGCCGTGTGTGACAAACACAATCACTTTGAAATCATATAATCTATTTACGAACCATTAAATGTTGATCTTTTTCTATAACATGCTATTGAATTTCTTTAGTAGCAACTTCTCAAAAGGGCTTCGAAAACTTGTAGATGGAAATTAGTTTTTGCATTCATTTCACAATATCAACCAATTCACAATACTTTGGAAACTAATTAGGTTCACAATAGTGGCATTAGCAATTCTCGAATGAAAGGATGATCTATTCATTCAAAACTGTAATAACTGGAACTGACTGTGATGGAATCGAACTCAAGATCTAAGGCAGATATAGTTGACCTAAGTTATTCTCTCTCATCATCTAAGGATGACGAAGCTTAGCAGTTTATTTCACCATGAATTGTTCAACTTTATCTAACCAGCCTAATGACGCAATGGTCCCTTTTCGTTATGATGAATTGTATGTATTCAGGAATGAGATCTGAAACGTCTTTAGTACTCTGCGATGTATCTGACTAAATATTGAACAAAATCAAGAAATACCATTTACTTTACAACTCGTAAATGTTTTTACATAGGCGTTATTAATTTTCTAATTCGTAAGTATGTTATATAAAGGCCTCATTAGCAAACATATTTCTGTTGACCTCATCTGTCTGTAGAAATATCAATGATTGTACATTCTTTGGTCGTCTTTCACTATCTTCTTTCTCATTAATAAAATATGGTATTACCTATTGTGTAGTAAGCCTTATATGGATCTCAGAATAAACAATGTCGCTTTCTAATCAATAATGTGTTCAGTTAACTGACAATCATCTATGCACACAGAATACCGATGAATGAGACATTCATTTTTTACAAAAGATTGTTACTTTTCTAAAACTAAAATGAAGTGAAAACAAATATTTTACCTGATAATTGACAGAGAGTCTTGCTTCAAGTAAGAATCAATATTGTAATTATATCGTTCTCTTGTAGAGTCATCATACGTTCCGAGTATATTGGTCTGTGTGACTGTGATGAATAGTCATGAAGACAGTCTCTTTATCGTTTACCATTAAATAAACTGAGAGAGCATTTGAAAAATCGGTTAACACATAGGCTACGGTGACATCGAACTACCATCAGGTTTCAGTTATCATACTACAGATATATTCCTCGTTCAAACTGTGTCTTTGACAAGCTAGTAACTGTTGGTTTGTGTCTCCTTCATGCGTCATTGCATTAAAGAAACCTTATTCAGTAGACTTTTTGATTTAACACAATCTACACGGAGAATATCAAATAGTTTTCTAATATTATCTGAGTTATTGCGTTCACGGTTCATGTTCGCCATGCATTCATTTAACCGATATATTTCGGACAATCACGTTCTCCACCAGTTCTGAAGTAACTTACCATTATTGTTCTTTGTGTTATACACTATACTGTGTATGTTGTTACCACTTTGATCACATGTTCTACATTCTCATGAATGCTGTTATCAACAAGCTCAAATAAATAGGTTTCGTCTTATAAACGAATTTCATCACAATTGGTAAATATCAGAAATGTGTCAGATTCACATCAACAAACTGAATTCAACTGACTCAATGGTTTACAGGTGCGCAATTGTTACCTTGAAGTTTCTCAACTTCTTTCAAAGTGGTTAACACAAACGATCTTGATTGATTGATTGATTGATTACCTCAATTGGCAGACTATTTCTTATTACTAGGTTTTACTGTAACAGAGTCAATGAACGGAAATATCATTCAGAAGTTGAATACGTTAAACTCACTAACACTGACCATTAGTTAATCAATAACTTACATTTTGACGATGATTCAAAAATATCGACTAATCAAAATTGTACTAACAGCATGTGAGGCTGACGAGTTTATTCGTTTGATCGTTACTTTGGAACACCTTCGCATCAGTACAGAATAAATGAAATACGGTCAGTCGGGGATAATGAAAGTTACTACAAGCAGATTGAAATCTTACTGCACAGTTTGTCACATTTCACTGAAATAATGTTTTAAATAACAAGGACATCTGTGTTGATTTCACGAACTTATGATTTCTCTGTACCTGGTTCCAATATTTCGAATGCTTTCAATCATTATATTGACGTGATGATAGAATTTCGTGATATAAGATTTTCACACCGTTTTGTCTTTGTGAACTGTTGACTCCATCAGTTCTTTGTTGTGAGAGAAATGAAGTTGGATTCATGCAATTCTGCTGGTCTTGTTATTCTTGCTCCATTCAGACCCAAATGTTGATTTGAATTTCAGCTGGTTGACGTATTTCACATAATTTTCTTTACATGTTGGCATTTAGTTTGCTTTTCCAATCACATACCGTTGTTTGTAATAAAATGTTGAGAGGTATTGTTTAGTTTGACAGAGTCGTCAAAATGGAAAGAGGTCGGATCACAGATTCTACAGAAACACAAAATATATGAAGAAATTTATCCAATGATTTGGCATTCATTGAGAAATTCTTGAAATAATGATATTTGATTCGGAGGGGTTTATTGCCAATTTCATAAATATGATGATGTTATAAATGTTTGAATGAAACGACTTCCTTACACAGATTCATCAGTTCTCTACCCCACACAACTGATCAAACTTCATTTGGCATGTAGTTCGTCTGAAGCGAGTGATCATTCGATATTTACGAAGGATTCTATCACAAAATGTATCAACCAACAATCTAAAGAAATGAGGTTTGTTCAAGATTTCTTCATTTGACTTATTTTGTATGAAAACACATATAGATAGGTATTTACTGGAAATTTTCATTACCTTTATCTCTATCAACAATAAAAGTGAAGATGTGAATGGAAATCAACCGACTTCAGACTTCCGGTCGCTTGAAACATTCAAACCAACAGCATGCTGATTGTTGGATTCCTCATCACTCATATTTAGCACGTGCTGACAACATTTCATGGCGTCCAATCGGTTCACATAACTTGTATTCATAATTTGACGATAAACCGATGTTTTGGAAAATTTGTTGGCCACCAATAGTTAAAATAAAATAAAACCAATGACATAAAACATACCATATTTTGCATATTTGTAAAACATAAAAGTAGTTCTGCAGTACTGAATGTTTCAGACAACTTTACCAACAAAGTCATCCTGATCAATAAAAATGTTGTGTAACTTATATCAGGCCATCTGCATCATTCTTAAATCCTATCGACTAACACCTACAGTGACAATAATAACTGAAGAGATTCGTTCATCCTGAATTCCCACAATATTAAAAGTTGTTGGCTGAGTAACTTCGGACATTCATACCGTTTTTCAAGAGGTCATGTGTTCGGATGCGAAGTCGATGTCCCATTGTTTGAATGATGCCAATTCCCTCAGAATTTCGAATGTGATCTAATGTTAATCGATTCAAAGAACTATGGGAACACGGAAATTTCAATAATCATTCTACAATATTCTACTGATTGCAAATTCTTGTGGAATTATTTGCCCAATACTTTCAACATGCATGTGATTCCTGGTTCATTTAGTTTGCATAAAAGTAGGTTCACAGTGAAACGTATCGAAATTAATGAATCGAAGCTGGTACAATTGGAAATGACACCGACATAACTCCACACAAAGAAGGAGTGCAGTACTGTCCGTAGGCAGACTTTATTGTCATGATACACAGATCACACGTTCAGCAGCTCAATTCAACATGATTTTAGTTCTTTGTCCAAAAGTAAACAATATAAAAACCGTTGCGTTTAAACATGGGTTAAGTAAATGCATAAAATTGTGAACAACTGCTACAATGATCAAGACAAAGTAATTTTAATTATAAATACATTAAGTGTTATAAGTATATGTAAATATTTCAGAATATTACACGACAAGCTTTCACTGCAACATATGCGTACAAATTGCTTGGATACAGCTACTTACTGAATATAAATAAGTAGTATAAAATAATACACAAAAGATTCGAAAGGAACAGTATGAAGACCGTTGCTTTTAAACATGTGTTAAACAAATGCATCAAGGATGTCGATCGAAATTGCTAGCCCATTTGCAACAGATCAGTGCTAGTAGGTAGACTAAGAAAATTCTAGAATTTCCGTGTGTGCAGTTTGTGTATTAAATGAACTCTTCAACCTAGAGAATTATACAGAAGATGATTAACTAAAATTTACACAATTAGGATTTATTCTTTAATCGAAATGATTTTATCTATTTACAGTATAGTTAATATTTCTAAACAATCTATTCGTTATAAGTAAAGATGGATAGTGGCTAGTACTGGAATCCATTTTGATGCGCGTCACTTCGTCCTATTTGGGACTCGTCAGTTGGATGTACCTGTATTTCAGAGTTGATATTCACTCTCGAACTCGAACCCAGTACCGTTTGCTTCAAACGCCATCGCGTTATCCACTCAGCTAATGAGTCCTGATTGCCACCTGCTTGTGCGATGGGGTGAACGGTATTGGGATCAAGTCTCGGAGTGAACATCAACTCTGAGATGTAAGTACATGCAGCTGACGAGTCCTAAATAGGACGAAGTATCGCGAGTCAAACTGGATTACAATGCTAACCACTATCCATCTTTGCTTATAATCCTTGTGAATAAAGACTATATCGAGGCAATACTCACAGGATACACATAAACCAATAAGACACTGATCAATTACAGTCCTAAACATCCCTATAATTTATGTAGAAAAATGAGAAAAAAAGAGAAGAAAAGAAAAAAATAAATTCGATGAGAAAATAGAAATACACATATAGACATTGATTTAAATATCGATGGATTTCTTTGACGGGCTAGGCGGATTAAGGATCAATAAGGACGCGAGATTACTCATACTGATTTGACGTCCTTGATTGTCACTGTGTTAAGATCGGAGAATTCGTATTTCTATTGGTGGATAATTCACGCAAGTTACGTCCTTGTTCAATTTGTAAGGTCTTAACAAATTAGCGACGACGTTGATCAAGTCATAACGATACTAAAAGATTTTTTACAGTACAACTTAATCAATTATATCTTAGCTACTTAAAGAAAATTGCACTGAACAGTGTTAAAATCCTGATCTAGAAAAGAATGATGAACTGCTTGAATGACTAAAGTATCTACCTATAAATAGACCGTTTACAACTACAGGAATAACTAGGCGAATGTACACGGTAAAATGAAATCTTGAAAGAATTATTCGATAATCCTATTACAGGATTTTCTAGTCTATGCATATATACTAGTCCTGATTTGAAATAATGAAGTGGTTAGAATTAAATAATCTGTTATATCTAGAGCTTTGATTCTTACTATGCCGCCTACTACTAGACTACTTGAACGATCGAACCCTGAACGTCGCAAGAGAGAAGACGGAAGACTAGTAAGTAGGAAGTTTATTCCCCAAAGCAGTGTCAAAATATAGTACAGAAATCTCATGTACTTATCGTTTTTTGACTGAGAGTAGATTATCATTTCGAACAATCAATAGGCACAAAGTGGTCATTCTTATCCATCCAATGGGGAAGCTACACGTCGACATTCTAGAATATTCCCCTAGCAGTGATTGAATGGAATGTCTTTGGCTCTTTCTGGGCTTCTTAAGGCTTCCTAGAGTTTACCAACGAGCCATCCTTACATAATCATTGAAACCCATACAGCTTCATTGAAACTGCTTAGATTGATGTATCTTACTGATTTTACTAAGTACAGTTTAGCTAATGTTGACAGTTATTGATAAATACACTCTCCCCTAATTACGGACTAATATTCACAATAAACAACTGACAACCATCGACTGATACTGCGACGTTGGTCCAATCAGTTAGATGGAACAATGTTCAATCTAGCGATCCATGAACTGGCTCCATTAGCTGACTTCTCTCTATTTAAATAATATTTATAACCTTTAAATGTTTATGTTGACAATAGCACAATCGATCCTACATATTGGTCTGTTTTGCTTCTTTGTCTTAAAGGATTTATCATTAAACAAAAGTGACAGTCTATTCAAAATACAAATATGTCAACTTTAAGTCAACAACGTAAACTAGTTGAACAATTACGTCAAGAAGCTAATTTAAATCGTCGTCCCGCCTCTGAATGTGTACAAGAAATGATTGTTTGTATGGAACAGAATCGTGATAAAGATTGTTTAGTTTCAGGATTTGCTAGTAAAAAAGATAATCCATTCCAAGAAAAAGGTGGATGTGTGGTGATTTAGGCAATTTATTAAATGGATAATAAAACAAATAAATGTGTTTAATTATGCTCTTATATGAATAGTGAGGGTACTCTCCATTTCGTCTATCTACTTCGTAATACCTTACTATTTCTGTTGTTGCTATTTATGAATGTAGACACATTCCGCCTGTAGCTCCTCGGCGGTGTTACTGCCGGTCTCAAGCCCGGGTAAAGGAGGAGGGTTGGGCATGGGGTTAGCGACCCCATTCCGTAGAAAACCAACTAGCTAAAAAAACGCTAACCAGTAAGTAAGTAACACTTTAATCCAAATAAAAAGCAAATAATAATGAATTTTAGATAACAAAGGGATACTTGGAAGGCGAACTTATTGATGTCTACCTGTGTTCTTCTGACTGTGACGTTGATAAACTACTTTGTTGAAAGGAAAACTCAATTACGATTGTCTATTCACCAAAGTTGCAAATCATTTTAATGATGATACTAGTTTGCTGAATAATTGTTGACAGAGATGTGTTCTATTGGCGACTTTCGGTGATTGTCAAATGACTTTGGGAGTGCGAAACTAATTTTTATTTACTCAGAATGCAGATGATATGATAGGACTATTCTTTAGACAACTCTAGAAGGGATCGGATTAGGAGTCGTTTTATTTATTTATTTGAACACATAAATGTTGGTACAAAGTGGCACCAGATATATATGCGCCACACAAATCTCATTTGATTTGTGTCAGGCGTACTTTCTCTATCTCTGTGACAGAGAATATATGAGTGAAGTTGACTATCTAATATGCATTCAAAATCAATTCGCAAATAATCACATGGAGAGAGTGTTCTTAGGGTTTTAAAGGAATAGGTCTGAAAACAAGTTAACACTTTAACCGATGGTTCACCCAATGGCTGTATATACACTGTCAACTATCTCTCTGTTTATGGATTGGAATATGCTCCTCCTAATTTTAGTGTGCGCATCATTATGTTGTATTCAGACTACATTGATACAAAATAGAATACCATTACAGATCATTCATGTGATGTTGAATTCTTAACAAAAATAAACACACACTGACAGTCACAGTGACTTTATACACTCAACAAGACATAATAGTATGTTCAACTTAGTTTCCTGTCGACGTATCATTCCACTATCTGCTGAACTACATAAATAATTTCAAAGTATTGACCATGGAAAGGATGTTGATTCTTACTCTATCAAACCTTTCAATAGCGTCTCCTTACAATAGAAGCATCGCAAACATGAACACTTCATAAAACAATCGGATTAAAACACCCTGTTTCAGATCAATAGTCTTGTGTATATCGTAGGTATATAGTTTCGAATCACCAGTTTGCGTCCTGGATCGTTCACACTACTGAAAACATACAAAAATACGTTTTACGACATATCTATACCAGTTAAATGTCAAATTTACTGATGACACCTGAGTAAACGTTCATTTTAAATGAATAAATGTACAGTAACTGCAAGGTTTATTCACACTAGATAGTATCCTACCGTGTAAGGCATTATTCATGAGCTGCAATTAGTAAATAGTGCAAAATCAACTTCCTCTCCCCGATGACCGCTTTGGAGCCCATAAAAATAATCACATCGTGTGGATTATGAGTAATGTTTGTGGAACTATATCAAAGCTGATAATTAGTAATCATGTGAATAGTTACGAAAATTCGAATAAAATTGATTCCAGACTCATGTATATGAGTAATCACTCCAGAAAGTCTATTTCATTCACTTATCTACAAATTAGTATGACCACAGCTTCTTTTAAGGTTGCTTCAACTCTTTGGTTATCAGAACACATTCCTATGTCACTACCATTGTAAATCGTACTTTGACTGGCATGATTATAATGTAGTTCAGGAACAATTCTTATATGTTGCTTTTAGATTTATTCAAGTATTCTCATTCATTCAGTGATTATTCCTTCGAAATACTTTAGCCTGCATTACCAGTTGTGAATCACTATTATAGAAAACTTTCCAATTATTTTGGAATATTCATTCAAGGACACAGATATGTATGGAACTGGTACCAATGAGAACAGTTAATTCGACGTGCACTATACTCATTTCTACTTTTACTACTCATATATTTCTCTTATGTTAGTTTAATGTTGTTTTTTGTATGCATCGGACGAGAATTGGTGCTTCCAATGTGGTTTGGTTGCCGGTAAAACAAATTGTCATCGCTATTGAACATCTTATAATGAAATACCCAGATGGTACATTCTTCTAATTTTTTTTACTTTTTCTAGCATACATTAATGTATTTGACAGTTGTAACCTTTAATAAGTACTAAATAATTTCATTATAGTTTGTGTAAAGTGTGATCGATAGATGAACTCACCAATTGGTACGTAAGACGCCCACCATCAAATCAACTCCGCTTCATCTTGTATGACTATGTCTTGCTTATTCAACAATCACAATTTCATATTTCGTATCAAACAGTATTCAGTTTGGTTACTCATGACTGCTATACTCTACTTACTGTTCGACAGTTTAGAGAACATTTTGATTTGAATCTGTACGAAATTACTTCCTACAACCGATTTTGTCAATATCTGTTTTTCATTCAAAATGTTTTCGTTATGAAGTGGGTTAGTGAGTTCAGTCAATCGTAGATTTTTATCACTACTCACAAATCACGGAAAATATCTGATAGTAAAACAAATCCGCTAACACCTATGAAGTTGATAGTGAGAAAATGCTCATTGATTACACTAAGTATTGTCAGTGTAATGAAGCAAACTGACTGAATTTGCAAAATCTTTGATGAATGCTTTGTGATACGATAGCTGAGCGATATCTGGAACATTTTGATTCAATCAATTTTGACATTACAATTACATACTGCTTCATAAGTGTAACCGTATAATAAGCAGGTATTCAAGTGTTAGTAGTTTCCATGACTCCTAAAACTGGTACCAGTTAACGATGAGATCAATCCACAAATAATTCGAAACAGCAAATTTCAACACCATCACGTTATCTAATTTCAAAACATATTTAAGAATCAGATTTCGTAAGTTAATAAGATATTGGGAATTCTGTTCCATTTACCCCATTCAATATAACAGAACAACAACTTCTATCATTTCTGCTACATCCTATAAAATTATCGAAGTAGAATTCATTATCTTTTCTTCTCAGTATTAATTATAGGAGTGTTTAATTACACAAACATATTTCTGTTGACCTCAATTGTTTACAGAAAAATCAATGATTGAACTTTGTTGTCGTCTATCACCTCATTCTATCTCATTAATCATATAATATGGTATTCTCTATTCACTATATAGAGTTACTGAGCGTAATATGAATCTTACTTAGACTAAATCATGCCGCTTTCTAATAAAAAGTTGTTGTTTATGTGACTGACAATCATCTACACACATTGACACGTGCGTGCAAAATAAAGATGAGTGAAATTCTCATTTTACAAAACATTACTACTTTACTAAACAGAAAATGTAGTGAAACAAATCTTTTGGCATCCGATTCACAGAAGGTCTTGCTCCACTAATGAATAAATACTGTAACCATTTACCATCTGATTTCAAATGAGTTTGATGGTCGTTTTCTCATATAATCATCTACTTTTCACGTCCTTACTTTATCAGTCCATGTAACGCTCATTGATAAGTTCGATTCTTTGAGACTCGACAAGTTATAGCGTCCTGCGTATTTTGGTCTATGAATGAGACGGTTGACAGTGTATATACAGCCATTGGGTGAACCATCGGTTAAAGTGTTAACTTGTTTTCAGACCTATTCCTTTAAAACCCTAAGAACACTCTCTCCATGTGATTATTTGCGAATTGATTTTGGACGCATATTAGATAGTCAACTTCACTCATATATTCTCTGTCACAGAGATAGAGAAAGTACGCCTGACACAAATCAAATGAGATTTGTGTGGCGCATATATATCTGGTGCCACTTTGTACCAACATTTATGTGTTCAAATAAATAAATAAAACGACTCCTAATCCGATCCCTTCTAGAGTTGTCTAAAGAATAGTCCTATCATATCATCTGCATTCTGAGTAAATAAAAATTAGTTTCGCACTCCCAAAGTCATTTGACAATCACCGAAAGTCGCCAATAGAACACATCTCTGTCAACAATTATTCAGCAAACTAGTATCATCATTAAAATGATTTGCAACTTTGGTGAATAGACAATCGTAATTGAGTTTTCCTTTGAACGAAGTAGTTTATCAAAGTCACAGTCAGAAGAACACAGGTAGACATCAATAAGTTCGCCTTCCAAGTATCCCTTTGTTATCTAAAATTCATTATTATTTGCTTTTTATTTGGATTAAAGTGTTACTTACTTACTGGTTAGCGTTTTTTTAGCTAGTTGGTTTTCTACGGAATGGGGTCGCTAACCCCATGCCCAACCCTCCTCCTTTACCCGGGCTTGAGACCGGCAGTAACACCGCCGAGGAGCTACAGGCGGAATGTGTCTACATTCATAAATAGCAACAACAGAAATAGTAAGGTATTACGAAGTAGATAGACGAAATGGAGAGTACCCTCACTATTCATATAAGAGCATAATTAAACACATTTATTTGTTTTATTATCCATTTAATAAATTGCCTAAATCACCACACATCCACCTTTTTCTTGGAATGGATTATCTTTTTTACTAGCAAATCCTGAAACTAAACAATCTTTATCACGATTCTGTTCCATACAAACAATCATTTCTTGTACACATTCAGAGACGGGACGACGATTTAAATTAGCTTCTTGACGTAATTGTTCAACTAGTTTACGTTGTTGACTTAAAGTTGACATATTTGTATTTTGAATAGACTGTCACTTTTGTTCAATGATAAATCCTTTAAGACAAAGAAGCAAAACAGACCAATATGTAGGATCGATTGTACTATTGTCAACATAAACATTTAAAGGTTATGAATAATTTTGGAATAGAGAGAAGTCAGCTAATGTAGTCAATTAATGGATCGCTAGATTGAACATTGTTCCATCTAACTGATTGGACCAACGTCGCAGTATCAGTCGATGGTTGTCAGTTGTTTATTGTGAATATTAGTCCGTAATTAGGGGAGAGTGTATTTATCAATAACTGTCAACATTAGCTAAACTGTACTTAGTAAAATCAGTAAGATACATCAATCTAAGCAGTTTCAATGAAGCTGTATAGGTTTCAATGATTATGTAAGGATGGCTCGTCGGAAAACTCTAGGAAGCCTTAAGAAGCCCAGAAAGCGCTGAAGACATTCCATTCAATCACTGCTAGGGGAATATTCTAGAATGTCGACGTGTAGCTTCCCCATTGGATGGATAAGAATGACCACTTTGTGCCTATTGATTGTTCGAAATGATAATCTACTCTCAGTCAAAAAACGATAAGTACATGAGATTTCTGTACTATATTTTGACACTGCTTTGGGGAATAAACTTCCTACTTACTAGTCTTCCGTCTTCTCTCTTGCGACGTTCAGGGTTCGATCGTTCAAGTAGTCTAGTAGTAGGCGGCATAGTAAGAATCAAAGCTCTAGATATAACAGATTATTTAATTCTAACCACTTCATTATTTCAAATCAGGACTAGTATATATGCATAGACTAGAAAATCCTGTAATAGGATTATCGAATAATTCTTTCAAGATTTCATTTTACCATGTACAATCGCCTAGTTATTCCTGTAGTTGTAAACGGTCTATTTATAGGTAGATACTTTAGTCATTCAAGCAGTTCATCATTCTTTTCTAGATCAGGATTTTAACACTGTTCAGTGCAATTTTCTTTAAGTATCTAAGATATACTTGATTAAGTTGTACTGTAAAAAATCTTTTAGTTTTGTTATGACTTGCTCAAGGTCGTCGCTAATTTGTTATGACCTTACAAATTGAACAAGGACGTAACTCGCGTGAATTATCCACCAATAGAAATACGAATTCTCCGATCTTAACACAGTGGCAATCAAGGACGTCCAATCAGTATGAGTAATCTCGCGTCCTTATTGGTCCTTAACCCACCTAGCCCTTCCACTTGAGCCAAGAACACCAATAGCAGCTGCTGTTATGCGAATCGTTTATTTCAAGCATATTCTGTTTATAAATCAGACAGACAGACCACATCACACCATCAAATAGAAAAGCCAAATGTGGCTGTGAGCGTGGGAGACAGTATTCAATAAACCGAGTATAATTTAGGAACAGTAAATCGTTTCATAATAATCTATCGGTCAAAATGAAGCTTATAATAAGATGAATATAGATATACATAATCTAGTTACTGAATAGTTATACAATAGGAATACACATAGAATAATAGTCCAACAATAGGTCCAGGGAGTTATCCGTACTTATGTCTTCGCTAGTATATGACAAGTATATAAGTAATTAATAACTATAAATGATCACAGTACTACACAGTAATTAATTCATGGCAACTTCACAAATTGTAATAATCTGTAAAATATTCAATTCAACACAATGAAGAATTCAAGTGATTTCAACTGAAACAGGATAGTTTGATAAAAAATTCTAATTTTCATAGTTGAAATCATGAATCAATTGAAGGTAGACTATCATGGAAAACCTAGAAGCACTGAACGACTGTTTCATCCTATTATGGGACTCTTCAGTGGCAGTACGCATCCACAATCCCGTCTCACCTCGAGAGCGAGTAACATACCCAAAAATAAGGTAAATAATCAACTCACTGAATTGAATTTGGAATCACAATGTTCCAAATGTGAAAATGAATAAATAAATCCGTTAATTAACCTTTTATATATATTTAAAATGAGAAATATTCCTTCCTTCTTATTATCGATCAATAATTTATAGAGAAGAAGGATAGGAAAATAAATTCAAAATGAATCATCCAATCAAAATACAGAAGATAAAATCAATGATTCCATTTTGATTGGTTCATTAAAAAAATCGATGGTTATTTACATCAATGTCTATTGAATTTTATTTTATTTTTCTTTTATTTTTTTTCATTTTTCTACATAAATTATAGGGATGTTTAGGTCTGTAATTGATCAATGTCTTATTGGTATATGTGTATTCTGTGAGTATTGCCTTGATATAGTCTTCATTCACAAGGATTATAAGTAAAGATGGATAGTGGTTAGCATTGGAATTCAGTTTGACTCGCGATATTTCGTTCTATTTAGGACTCGTCAGTTGGATGTACTTACATCTCAGAGTTGATGTTTACTCCGAGACTTGATCCCAGTACCGTTCACCCTATCGCACAAGCAGGTGGCTATCAGGACTCATTAGCTGAGTGAATAACGCGATGGTATTTAAAGCAAACGGTACTGGGTTCGAGTTCGAGAGTGAATATCAACTCTGAAATACAGGTACATTCAACTGACGAGTCCCAAATAGGATGAAGTGACGCGCATCAAAGTGGATTCCACTACTAGCCACTATACATCTTTACTTATAACGAATAGATTGTTTAGAAATATTAACTATACTGTAAACAGATAAAATCATTTCGATTAAAGAATAAATCGTAATTGTGTAAATTTTATTTAATCATCTTCTGTATAATTCTCTAGGTTGAAGAGTTCAATTCAACTTTCTTTTGAAAATTTGAATGCTTTAATGTAATTCACATTGTGCTGTGAAATTAATCAACTTTCTGAATGAAATTCAATACAGTTAGAATTCACTTATTGAATAACTTCATATAGGATACTTCTATTATTTGGTAGCTTGAATCGACCGAGACTGATCACATATATCTTATAATCAATAAAGCTTTGAACTACTTCGTTGTTTATATTCAGGACTGATGTTTGATCAATTTTTACTTGTATATGTGGATCCTGTGTGGTTTGTCTCTATATAGTCATTTTGTCACAAGTTTAACAGAACACATGTGTTGTAAGTAGCAGTGGAGTTTATGTCCCCCACTACTCTTCACTGCGAATGACCAACTGGTTAGTCATTGAATAATCGATTCCAAGTAGTTAGTAGCTCATTCAACAAGTGAGGTGTTTATACCATCATTAGTGAGTGTTTGAAATATCCTAATGTAAACACCAACACTGTGATATATATAGATTCTGCTGACAGGTGCAAATAAGATGAAATGCGTGTCCTAGGTTCCATGGTTAGTCATAATCTATCCATTCATAACAACATGGTTCATGAAAGCTGTATGCGGCTATTAAAGTGACCTTACATTGAATGCTTAGTTTTTATTGATGGTTTTTCGATGCTAAATACATTAAGTATCCAATACTTTTTCCTTCTGTCTACATTAAACCAAATCAAATCATGTCATCGCTGAAGTGCTTGATAAATAGTTGGAAAAAGTCAATTTCCACATAAATAAACTTTAGATCATTTTTATCTAACAATGTTATTTTGTCCGATTATCAGCTCTTTGAAACATAAATATCAAACATAAGAAGAATCATTTGTCTATTTATAATACTTCGTCTGATGCATTGAGTTGCATTTGGTTGACCCCAATTTTGTCTCCGTACACTACTTACTTACGCCTGTTACTCCCAATGGAGCATAGGCCGCCGATCAGCATTTTCCAACCCACACTGTCCTGAGCCTTCATTCCTAGTTCTATCCAACTTTCTTCATTCTTCTCATGTCTGTCTCCATTTCTCAGCGTAATGTGTTCTTTGGTCTCCCTCTTCTCCTTTGGCCTTCAGGATTCCATGTGAGAGCTTGTCTTGTGACGCAGTTGGGTGATTTCCTCAATGTGTGTCCTATCCACTTCCAGCGCTTCTTCCTGATTTCTTCCTCCACTCGGATCTGGTTAGTTGTCTCTCACAGTAACTTGTTGCTGATAGTGTCTGGTCAACGGATCCGAAGTATTTTGCATAGACAACTGTTAATAAACACCTGTATCTTTTGGATGATGGCTTTCATAGTTCCCCACGTCTCTGCTCCATATAGTAGAACTGTCTTGACATTTGTATTAAAATTCTGATCTTGGTGTTGGTTGAAAATTGTTTTGAGTTCCAGATGTTCTTCAGTTGTAAATATGCTGCTCTTGCTTTGCCGATCCTCGCCCTCACATCTGCATCAGATCCACCGTGTTTATCAATGATGCTGTTCAGATATGTAAAGGTTTCCACATCCTCCAAAGCTTCTCCGTCAAGTATAATTCGATTGGTGCATGCTGTATTGTATCGGAAAGTCTTGCTTTTCCCTTTGATATATTGAGACCTACTGCTGCTGAGGCTGCTTCTACACTGGTCGTTTTCTTCATTTGTTGTTGCGTTTGTGATAGAAGAGCCAGATCATCCGCGAAGTCTAAATCGTCAAGCTGCATCCTAGCTGTCCAATGTATTCCGTGCTTCCCTCCAGATGTTGACGTCTTCATGATTCAGTCTCCGTCCACTTCAGTACTAATCAATTATAGTTCTTAAGGAAAATGGGAAGATTTACACAACCTACACAGATGAATTGTGCTATGAATTGCCACAAAAACAATGAAAACAGCAAAACAATTACTCCAACATTCCAATATTTTCACATGTGTTGCACAAAATCTCTACAAATACTATGTTAAAATAGTATTACTATTATTATTATTATTATTACTATTACTATTAACTTCAGCATCCTCATCACCAAACTAAACACGTTGCATGTTGTTGTAGTGTGTGTTACTGATATCGACAGATATAAGTAGTATGCATAACCAATCGAAAGAGGAATTCCTGTTAGCAGGAGGTTGACAAAATCGAATGGAAGAAAACGAGAACACAGAGTGATTGTTGTGGAAATGAAGGAACAATGAAGTATGAGACAATCGGTGGATGTTTTGAGAATGGAATATTTAGTGAATGGTTCTCAGATTTTAACAAGTCATTCAGTAATGTTGTATTGACATGTATTTGGTTCACCACACTTGTGTTCTTGTCCACCACAATACTAAGCAAAACTAATTTAGTTACAGTTGTCTTTCGGAATATTCTCCAGTTCCATATGAATTGTTTAGTTTGAGTTGAATATTGTTATTTTGAAAGGGAAAACATTCGGTTAATGCAATCACCAGTCTGGTATTTGAGTTAAACAAGTCTATGAACAATAGTAACTGGCCAGATTTGATGATGATGATGATTTGAATGGTGATGATGATAAATTAAAATACTTCAAGTCGAGTTTGTTGAACTGAACTAAATCGAATTGTAAAGAAATCCATTTATCTCAAATTGAAGAATGACAGTGATGTGTTTCATTTAAAATGATGTGTCAGTACCGTCCGGTCGGTCGCGGACCGGATATCTCAGTGGTAACGTCTCTGACTGTGAAGCTGAGTGACACGGTATTGAATCCGTCAGGGAGCACCAGTTCCCCCAAGATTACAGGTACACCTTGCCGACGAGTGCCAAGTAACACGAAACCCGGGTCCAGAGTTTCCTGTTGACCACCTCCAACCATCATCTTATCTCAGTACCATCCATACAAATTAAGAAAGATCTACTCAAACCGTGATTGTTTAACTGACAACCATTGAGCATAACATATGTTATTTAGATACAAATATGCTGATTAAAAAGCAACGGTTTTTGTATTGAAGTTTTCGTTTTAGTGAACTTTACGTTATACTTCAGGAAATCATTGAGCACCTTTAACGCAAAAAATACACCGTTTAGTTTAAACATGGGTTAAGTAAATGCATAAAATTGTGAACAACTGCTACAATGATCAAGACAAAGTAATTTTAATTATAAATACATTAAGTGTCATAAGTATATGTAAATATTTCAGAATATTACACGACAAGCTTTCATTACAACATATGCGTACAAATTGCTTGGATACAGCTACTTACTGAATATAAATAAGTAGTATAAAATAATACACAAAAGATTCGAAAGGAACAATATGAAAACCGTTGCTTTTAAACATGTGTTGAACAAATGCATAAAAGATGTCGTTCGAGCTTGCTAATCCATTTACAACAGATCAGAGCTAGTAGGCAGACTAAAAGAATTCTAGAATTTTCGTGTGTGTGCAGTTTGTGTATTAAATGACACTTTTCACATCACTGAATTAATTCTCTGTTTACAGCGGAATATATCTGCATTTTTGTACATGTCATGTTTTGATTTGGGAGTTGGACTGGAAAATTGAAGTGCCCAAATATACCAGGCCGAAGAGGGAGCCTTAACAACTCGTATTAGTCAGACTTAATTTAACCTGAAAACCGTTATTTAATTTTTGAAAAGACCGCACACTCAACGTCATCAAGCATCAAAAACTTGAGTTTCTATTCATTTGGATATGACTAATAAATTGTTACATTATCATACAATACAGAAAATGTATTGGTTTGTTTGCTTTTGCCTTGATGAGAATGGAAACGAATGTTAACTGATGAATAACGAAGGACTCTCGTTGCCGTATTGTATCATATAAGTAAACAACTTTACAAAATTTACCTTAGTTAATAATTCTTGTACATAACCGATCAGCTACAAAATGTAATCAGCATAATTGTATCTAAATAACATTTGTTATGCTCAATGGTTGTCAGTTAAACAATCACGGTTTGATTAGATCTTTCTTAATTTGTATGGATGGTACTGAGATAAGATGATGGTTGGAGGTGGTCAACAGGAAACTCTGGACCCGGATTTCGTGTTACTTGGCACTCGTCGGCAAGGTGTACCTGTAATCTTGGGGGAACTGGTGCTCCCTGACGGATTCAATACCGTGTCACTCAGCTTCACAGTCAGAGACGTTACCACTGAGATATCCGGTCCGCGACCGACCGGACGGTACTGACACATCATTTTAAATGAAACACATCACTGTCATTCTTCAATTTGAGATAAATGGATTCCTTTACAATTCAATTTAGTTCAGTTCAACAAACTCGACTTGGAGTATCTTAATTTATCATCATCATCATCATCATCATCATCATCATCATCATCATCATCATCATCATCATCATCATCATCATCATCATCATCATCATCATCATCATCATCATCATCATCATCATCATCATCATCATCATCATCATCATCATCATCATCATCATCATCATCATCATCATCATCATCATCATCATCATCATCATCATCATCATCATCATCATCATCATCATCATCATCATCATCATCATCATCATCATCATCATCATCATCATCATCATCATCATCATCATCATCATCATCATCATCATCATCATCATCATCATCATCATCATCATCATCATCATCATCATCATCATCATCATCATCATAATGGATGCACTCACGAAACATCCACAAATCTATACTATGGCAAATTTTCCAGGCAGTGTTACAATCACCAAGATATTTGAACTGTTTGGCTGCTTTGGAATTCAGAGGAATTTTGCGACCAAAATCGGCTAGAATTTTACTGCAGAATCTTTCACGTTCTTCTGGAAACTCACACAAGCTCTCCAACCTATCACTGTTAATCAAATGGATGAGCAAAGCGCTTCGTTAACACATTCAAAAGAGCATTACTGGAAGTGGGACTAGTCAATTAATTAAAAAATTCTTAAGAGCTTATAAAACTACTCTACACTATATTGTTTTAGATGTAAAGTTTCCTTCAAAAGCTACTTTTGAAAGACGTAATTAAAGAGTATTCGAAGCCATTTTGTCACTGGAATCAGTAGGTGAACTCAGGCAAAACCAGAATATCGGAAGTTTTAATGTAGGTGATAAAATGGTCACCAAGTCATACCGTGAAAATATCGATGAGAACTTGGATTCATTGAAAAGAGACCAGGAAATGTTTTGTACAAAGTGTGTGGGACGTTTAGATAGTGAATAAGGTACACCAACCAAATCCACAGAAAAATAAGGATGTCGATTAAGGCAGGCAGACTTTTGCATTTTCCACTGAAGATAATGGCAGATAATCTAATTATAAGAACTTCAGTGGACACTCAGTCGATGAAAACCAAGAAATTTGAGAGACCTCCGGAGACCAGTCATCAAACTTCAAATGGACTCGAAGAAGAAGTCTTATTTTTTGAAGAGCAATGGTGTTGGAGAGATTCAGAATATTCCTTGAAGAAAGTTCAAAGGGGAATTGAAAACGCTGAGCAACATATCATCCAATCAACATTCAATAAACGTTTTTCAACAACATATAGACAGTGAAAAATCAAGTATCACACTCCTAACTGGATAATAATCTATCCTGTTACTGCGTTTAGTAGGGTTTCAGAAATTTTTGTAAGTACAAGGCCATCTGAGATGTCATAAATACCCCAAATGTTCTGTATATAAACGAATCTCGGAATTAAGCGTTCCCTTCATATTTCGCGTACTTTCACTCATATTCAAGTTGTCGTATAGATTTAGAAGAAGATTTATCAGTATATGAATGACTCAAATATCAAAATTATATTTGATGTAATCTCAGTGGGTCGAGAATAGTGAGCAGCTATGAATAAGAATACAAGCTACTGGAAAGAACTGGAAAGGTTCGTCCATAACAGATTTCGATAGAGAATGCTGATGAGTAGCCTACGTTCATGAGGGGTACTCGAACTAACTAAATTAATTAGAACAACATATGTAGACGAACAATATTGTTTTCAATTAGATCGTCATCATCAGCGTTTACTCTAATATACCTTAATCTCTATACGAAAATGTTAAACTAATCAAGGCTATTTTAATCAATACTAATTACAATGAAATAGAAAACGTAACCAAGCCTAATAGTTAAAAGTACAAGTTGATAGTGGGAAGACAAGTGTACTGATAGTAGTAAGAATAGTAAATTACAATAACAAAAGTCTTATCAATAGTTAAACATAAGAAATAAGAGGTCAAACATGTGTTGTTCTAATTTCCACAATGGGAATCTTTAATATTCTAACTGAGTAAGTCTATAGTGTTTATCCATAGTTGAATCAATGAACAGACAAAATATTTATTTTCAATTCATTTTGTTCGTAGAAGAGTGGTGATCTTCACTGGTATGAATGACTCATTCATCAGTATTCTATGTGCGTAGGTAAATGTCGGTCAACTAAGTACATTATTAGAAAGCGACATTGTTTATTCTAACTGAGATCCACGTAAGGCTTACTTCACAATAGATCACACTGTTATCCGATTGATTAGATAGAATATGGTGATAGACAAAAAGAAAGTATAAACATTGATATTTCTACAAACAATTGAGGTGAACCTACAGATGATCGCAAATCACACTCTCAGATAATTTACACTATTATTATTGCCTTCAAGGTAATAAGTCAATTTCCTAAAATCCTAAGATGAAATATTCTTTAAAGATTAGGTGTATTATCATTATCATTATCCTTTTACACGATGTGAGTTTGATAAGCCGTCTTTGAACAAGATATTCTGATTGAGGATTCATTACTAAAAGGATTAGTTGGCTATTAAACAGGAGATTGTGTTTGGACAGACTATGTTTTCATGTGAAACGTCGAATAATTCACAATTTCGTACCACATTCTCTACCGCTTACAGTGGATAACCATTTCACACCCGATATGGTTGAACTACACTTGTCACGAATTCTTACTTGAACTTCACCTATCACATCTTTCAACTGAGATATATTGTACGAAATTTAGACAGATATGAAATCCGAAAATTTTCTCGAAACAGTTTGAAAACTGACAGCACATTAGAATTGGCACTTTCTATGTGGGTGGATGAGTTATCTCACTAGACTGTTTATGCCTATAAACAATACGTATCTGGTTGAATAACCTTTTAATGTTTCAATAGTGAATTGAATGTGCAGATTGATAAGTGATTGTGTGATAAATGTGGATGAATAGAACTCATTTTACAGACAGTGTCGTTCGGTCAGTGATAATGACTTATGAAAATAGTTAATCAACTAAAATCATGTTGAATTGAGCTACTAAACTTGTGATCTGTGTATCATGACAATAACGTCTGCCTACGGACAGTACTGGACTCCTTTTCTGTGTAGAGTTATGTCGGTATCATTTCCAGTTGTACCATCTTCGATTCATCAATTTCGATACGTTTCACTGTGAACCTACTTTTATGCGAACTAAATGAACCAGGAATCACATGCATGTTGAAAGTGTGGGGCAAATAATTCCACAAGAATTTGCAATCAGTAGAATATTGTAGAAAGATGATTGAAATTACCGTGTTCCCATATTTCTTTGAATTGATTAACGTTAGACCACAGTCGAAAATCGGAGAGAATTGGCGGCAATCAAACAATGGGACATCTACCTCGCGCCCGAACATATGACCTCTCGAAAAACGGTACGAATGTCCGAATTTACTCAGCCAACAACATTTGATATTGTGAGAATTCAGGATGAACGAATCTCTTCAGTTATTATTGTCACTGTAGGTGTTAGTCGATAGGATTTAAGAATGATGCAGATGGCCTGTTATAAGTTACACAACATTTTTATTGATCAGGATGACTTTGTTGGTAAAGTTGTCTGGAACAATCAGTACTGCAGAACTATGTTTATGTTTTACAAATATACAAAATATGGTATGTTTTATGTCATTGGTTTCGTTTTATTTTAACTATGGGTGGCCAACAAATTTTCCAAAACATCGGTTTATCGTCAAATTGTGAATACAAGTTATGTGAACCGATTGGACGCCATAAAATGTTGTCAGCACGTGCTAAATATGAGTGATGAGGAATCCAAGAATCAGCATACTGTTGGTTTGAATGCTTTGAGCGATTATCTGAACTGGATGATTTATGTTTTAAACACATAAACCTTGAACCGGAAGGTTGAAGTCCGTTGATTTCCGTCCACACTTTCACTTTTATTGTTAATAGAGATAAAAGTAAAGAAAATTTCCAGTAAATACGTATTTACATGTGTTTTTATACAAAATAAGTCAAATGAAGAAATCTTGAACAAACCTCATTTCTTTAGATTTCTGATTGATACATTTTGTGATAGAATCCTTCGTAAATATCGAATGATCACTCGCTTCAGACGAACTTCATGGCAAATGAAGTTTGAACAGTTGTGTGGGGTATAGAACTGATGAATCTGTGTAAGGAAGTCGTTTCATTCAAACATTTATAACATCATCATATTTATCAAATTGGCAATAAACGCCCCCTATCAAATATCATTATTTCATCAATTTCTTAATGTATGCCAAATCACTGGATAAATTTCTTCATATATTTTGTGTTTCTGTAGAATCTGTGATCCGACCTCTTTCTATTTTGACGACTCTGTCAAACTAAACAATACCTCTCAACATTTTATTACAAACAACGGTATGTAATTGAGAAAGCAAACTAAATGTCAACATGTAAAGAAAATTATGTGAAATACGTCAACCAGCTGAAATTGAAATCAACATTTGGATCTGAATGGAGCAAGAATAACAAGACCAGCAGAATTGCATGAATCCAACCTAATTTCTCTCACAACAAAGAACTGATGGAGTCAACAGTTCACAAAGACAAAACGGTGTGAAAATCTTATATCAGGAAATTCTAAATAACATGATGCATGATGATGAACAAAGCAGGCGATAATTATGGAAGAAATGAAAATCGTTTTAAAATAGCTTAGTATTTGCATGCTAAATGATATGAGGAATTTGGAAGATGACGTGAAAATCTCGTGTGGATGTGTAGGAGTCCGTGCTCACAATTAGAAATTCACTTCCTGTAATCTCTCTTGTGATCATCCGAACTTCGGTCTTATGATCATGCCATGTTTGTAATTGTCGTTACTCACTTATATATTTACTTGAGCATCGTTACCCTTTGTGATGAAAAGAGCTCCGACCGGCAGTCTCAAAGGAAGTCTGGACTAGACATTTCTTTCCAGATCTTGCCAAGCCATTTTCATTCTTTCGGTGTTTGACATCAATTGCCACAATATTGTGTTCATAAGTGTGCATTATTTCCTCTTCTTTTGAGAATTCCAGTTGTGGAACTTCACTTGTGATTCAGTTTGATGATTTCGATAGTAAGTCGTTGGTGATAGTGTCTGACCAACCGATCGACAGCATCTTGAGTATCGTATTCGACGTTCACACTGAGTTGTGTAGGTCTTCATTAGTCAGTTGATCATCAGAAAGAAGAGAAAATAAGGGAGTGATTGTGAAGTTAGTCGTCGAATAAATCTTTATGGTAGTTTATAACAAACTTAGAACATTATTACATTCTCGGTAGCCTGTCTGCAAACGTCTCTGAAATTTCTAAACCACGATAATGTGGTGATTAGAAGTATTCTAATTATT